TCAGCCTACAAGAAAAAGAAAAAGAAAAAGAATGGGCTTTTTGGGGGAGGAGGGCGTTTGGAACTTTCACGCTTGCACAACACTTCCATTTTTTTCATTCAGATATTGTGGTGTAATAACAGTTTTAGTTTCTTTTCTTTTCTTTTCGCTAGAGTTGTGTAACAAGAGGTATATAAAATCAAGCCATCAAGGCGATAGAACTTGACCTGGCCCTATTGGCTCCGATTTTGGAGGTCCAAAACAATCCTTAGAAGAGTCGTACTCATGAAAATTTTAATTTGCGCTAGGCTGCGTTTGGAAATCATACAAATACGTGTGAATATAAATATGTAGAGTGTAAAATGGTCCATATAAATTATAAAGTCGGGACAGTTTTGCATTGACAAGTTTATACTAAACAGACTTTTAGCTGTAATGGATATAAACACGAAATTCCAATAAAGCATGTCTTTTTTATCAAAAGCTCATTTGAATGCAAATTTACTTTTTTTTATTGATGTACTTTTACATCCAAGGCTGCGTTTGTAAACAAAACAAATAAGTGTGAATATAAATATGTAGTGTAAACGGTCCACATAAATTACAAACTTTGGTTAGTTTTGCACCAACAAATTTACCTGCTTACCAAATAGATTTTTAGCTATAATGGATGCAAACACAAATTTTAATAAAGCATATGTCTTCTTTTATCAAAAGCTCAATTGAATGCAAATTTACTTCTTTTTCATTGATGTACTTTTACATCTTATTATCAATGTAAATATGCATTGGAAATTGTGTTTTCTGTTATTTGTCAATGCATAAATGTAATGTTGCCAAACACATGCAAAAGTGAATCAGAGTGCAAACTTACCATGAATTGGGATTTGCACTTCATTTGCATTGTTTTCAAACACAACCTTATTATCAATGTAAATATGCATTGGAAAATGTGTTTTCTGTCATTTGTCCATGCATAAATGTAATGTTGCCAATCACAAGCAAAAATGAACCATAGTGCGAATTTACCCTGAACTGGGATTTACACTCTATTTGCATTGTTTCTAAATACAACCTTAGGATATGTTTTGGATCTTCCATTTTTCATTTTGAGGGAAATGATAGCTATAGGTTTTAAAGGGGCATTCTACAACATGAATGTTTTTCTTTTTTCATTTGTTTATGAAATTTCCACATCAGCAAAAAAAAACAAAAACATGCTCTTAAATTGTCTTTTTGTTTTAATAACCAAGGTTCAAAGTATCATTATGTATCGGGACCCTTCCAATATGCCCCTACAGTGGGTGTATTGGGGGTCTGATCGGTTCAGTGGATGGAAGGGTCCTAGACCGGCTCCCCTGAACCGGTTTAAAAAAAAATAAAAAAAAGTAAAAAAAACAAGTATCGAAATGCCTGATATGCCCCTACCGATGTATTGATATTTTGAACCTTGTTAAAAACCAAAAAGAAGTTGATTTTGTTTCAAAAAACAATACAGGGTTAAGAAACTACCATGAAAATGATGTTTTTTAAAACAGAAACAAATTTGTAGTATGGAAATTATATCATTTATGGAACATAACCAGATGAAAACATGTTCATTGAACTAGAAAATCAAGAGCTTTTCAATAAAAAACTAGAAAATCAAGAAAATGTTTAGGTTTTAGTTTCAAATACAATATATATATATATAGCTATATATATATTCAGAGAATCCCCCTAAAATATCTACTTTGAGGTGTAAGTGGTGTTTGTCTACTCACTGATTTTTTTCCCTTTTGTTGATAGATTACTCACTGTTGATGTTCAACCAATATTCGAATTTGGGTTTCCTCTATGGAATTTGGAATTTGAAGGCACGAAATGAAAGATGATTGAGCGATTTTTTATTTTTTTTGGGTTTATGCACTTTCTTTTCAAGATACTCTTGTCTTTTTCTTTCTTTTTTGGGTAACACAGATACTTGTATTTGACATTATACAAAATTCAACTTCATCTTAATTGTAAGTGATTTATATTTTATACGGATATGATGGTCCCCTGCGTTGTATTTATTCCTTCCTATCTTTCAGTTGACTGCATATGTATGTATATTAGTATATATTTTAATGCCAAAAGAATAATAATGAGAGTGACATTTTGGAATATGACATGGTGCAATATCAAACCCATTATTAATATTTCCAATTTTGTTCAACCTTGGATCGTAAAATATAAGGTGTTATTCATTTTAATATTTCCAACCTCAGTAAATCATTTTATCAAAAAAAAAAAAAGAAAAATAGTAAACCATATCTATTCACATCCTATCATGTAGATCTGCAAATACATAAGATTGCCAGCAATATTTAGAGGGCTTTCACAAACATTCAAACTAAAAACACACACGCTACTTAAAAAAAAAATAAATAAAAATAAAAAACATAATTAAACAGACACACATGTTTATCTGTTGTGAACTAAGGTACCATTTTCTTTCATTCTTTTGTGAATAAGAAGAAAATCCAACTCAAAAAAGTCTCATCCAAACATATTTATCTGTTGAAGCTAAAATGAAAAAATCAAATGAAAAGAAAGAAAGAAAGAAAGATAAGTGATTTCGAAATGATTTTGTTAGAGAATAAAAACCTTTTCAAGGAATTCACCTAATAGCTTAAACTTTTAGTTTGAAAGGGTTGTTAAAATGATATTAGAACTTGTTTGACCAAATGGCATAATATTTATTACTTAAATGAAAAAGAAAGAAACATATATTTGGTCAATAATCACATATCTTATATTTTCTTATCTCCTTTTAGAAATTTCGTTCCTTACATTCACTGCAGAGCCCTTGCAGCCATGCATTGGAAACATCTCCCCATGAATAAAAACATATAAATACGGTAATGTTCCTGATGTACACAGTTCAGGGGCTGTAAGGTGGGTGTTAGGACCAATTTTGCGAGGAGGAAATCCAAACTCCTCTTCTTAGCCCTTTTTTTCTTCTAACATTGCATATAAATCTATCACTTTTTTTTCCTGTAAAAACAAAACTTCTTCCAGTTACATATACTATTGAAATCTTGGATCACTGTTTTGTGTTTCCTTACATTACAGCAGTAGAACACACCCTTATTTTATTGTATGTGAAAGCATAAAAGCACATACATATCCTCCAACAGCAACAAACGAGGACAACAGCAAAAGCTTTTTTGGAGTAAATGGAAAATGCATGGGGCACTGCCTCTGTATGCTTGATTCTTTGCTACTGGCCCAGTTTCCATTTGGAGTCAACCCAGTACCATTTAAGAACCGACGGGGTTAACTAGACAAGAAAAGAAAGAGGAGGATCTGAGATATTACCCTACCTAGACTTATTCTAATTTCAATTGGAAAGCCAGATTAGCACAGAGATGGTGGACAAAGGAATATTTTTTTTTTTTCAAGTAATAACCTTGAAAGGCTAAGAAGGAAGCAAGCAAAGATGCCCTGAGCACAGAATGTTGGAATATAATCATGTCCTACATCAAATTTACTTTTGTTAATGGTTTAATTCACATATAACCTACGGAATCACAGTACTCCCATTGAAAAAGAGGAAGGGATCCCAATATGGATGAAAAAAAATAAAAAAAAAAAGTTTCAAATATATAGACCACGATAACGAACAAGTCAACATCCAAAAATCTATCTATCTATCTATTTATCTATCTCTCTCTTCATTATTGTCATAGTTGTAGCATTTGGGTATGAGTGTCAAGTCTTCAGCAACACCATTTATATTATCCCACTTGAATTTTTTGAAACAAAAATATTAATATGTTGTTGTTGATTTTATAATTAATTTTGTTTTAGAATACAAAATCATATATATTGGGTGAACACCCAGATGATAACTATACCATATATATGTACACGCATTTGACATTCGTATTGTGGTGTTTTTTTTTCAAAAATAAAGGAAAAAAACTAATAAGGATCCCTCAACTAGTAGAAATCGACAGAAATACTGCTATCGTGCTTCGGGAGAAAAGCAAATATAGCATAACCTTTAGAATCTCTTTCATCTTTCATATGTGAAAAAAGGGGATTCTGTTTCCATAGATGGGACGTTTTTGCATAATGAGTCATTTAGCAAAAGGATAGGGATGGGTTAAAAATATTGATAATAACAGTATTTTGATATATATATATATATATATATATATATATTTTTTTTTTTTCATCACTCAACTGTAAATTAACAGGCTTCAGCTAGCCTTCGTATTTCCACCATCCTCATTTTTAGCCCAGTAGACTCTTATTAGGACAAAAGCCCTTTGTTGAAGTGATTTTTTTCAAGTTAAATTAAAAGAAAATGAAGGCAAAATTTAAATGCTCATCAAATAAATGAGCAGCATGAATAATTGGCCACATCATCTCTCTGAGTAGCCGCTGAAAAGAGAAGATGTCATCATATATACAAATAAAGAATTATTGACTGAAGAGGGGGATGACGAGGTGGCAAATACATTGAGCTCTTCAGTTTCACCACCTCAGCTATGGACTTCGACGGCAGCAAGACAGGATTCCTTCTCATACAAGTAATATTAAACATTATTTTCCCAAACATTCTCTTTACAAGCTGGCCAATTCTTTATTGTCTGCGGATCATAATTCATAACCATCCAAGAAAATGTAAGCATATCTTCCATAAAATATATAACTATACCACAGTATTCTCTGTTTGATCTGTTAACCCTTTGGCCTTTGTAAAGACAAAAGAGATCCCCACCATTTTAGTTGTAAATTCCCCCAAACCTGTTTAGCTTATTGCATATAATCTCAACATGCCCATTTAATTACTTCCGATTAGAATTCTGCAATAAACAAATGAACCTCGTTGAATTCCGATCAGGAGGACATCAAGAGTTGTACAAAGGGTAAAACCATTAGTGGGTATAAACGGAAAAGCCTCTTTATGCAAAGAAAGGTACCTCCGTCCCATTCTCTCTCTCTCTCTCTCTCTCTCTCTCTCTGCACGCACCTTCACCTCCCTTTTCTTCAACTCAGCTTAGTATTGCTGCAACCAAATGATACCTCATCATGCCTTATATACATTTCTCTCTTCCTCCTCTCTTCGCCTGCAACAGATACGTTAACTAACCAACCACCCACGCCCCCTGGTTCTGGTTTTTCTTTTCATTCTCTACTCCATATTTATAATCTCGATTCTCTGATGGGTGCCCAATTTCTTCTCTATCTTATCATGTTATTTCTTTCTCTTTCTAACCTTTCCTCTCATGCCACCATTGAAAACCAATCTCATTTCTTCACTCTCATGAAACAATCACTCTCAGGCAAATCGTTGTCTAGTTGGGATGTTGCAATTGCCGGTGAGAGGCCATATTGTAATTACACTGGAATTGGTTGCAACGACGAAGGGTATATTGTAGAGATTGATGTCTCCAGATGGTCACTCAGTGGTCATTTTCCAGCTAACGTCTGCCACTACCTACCCCAACTGCGTATTCTCCGGCTCGGCCATAACAACCTCCATGGCAACTTTCCTGCTGGCATCAATAACTGCTCTCTGTTAGAAGATCTCAATATGACTTACTCGTCTCTTACTGGGACACTTCCAGATTTCTCACCCATGAAATCTCTCAAACGTCTTGATCTGTCATACAACCTCTTTACTGGGGATTTCCCCATGTCTATCACCAATCTCACCAACCTAGAGTGGCTGAATTTCAATGAGAATGGAGGTTTCAATTTGTGGCAGCTGCCAGAGGAGATCACCCGGCTTACAAAGCTTAAAACCATGATCCTGTCAACGTGCATGGTTCATGGCAGGATCCCAGCATCCATTGGGAACATGACTTCACTCGTCGACCTCGAATTGTGTGGGAATTTCCTTGTTGGTCGAATCCCTCCAGAGCTGGGGAAGCTGAAGAATTTGCGGCAGTTAGAGCTTTACTACAACCAACTCGTAGGTGAAATTCCTGAGGAGCTCGGAAATCTTACGCAGCTCATTGACGTGGATATGTCTGTCAATCTACTAGTTGGCAAGATACCGGAGTCTCTCTGCAAGCTTCCTAGTCTCCGTGTCCTGCAGTTATACAACAACAGCCTCACTGGAGAAATCCCGAGCATAATTGGTAACTCATCAACTTTGAAGATATTGTCTCTCTATGACAATTTTTTGACAGGCAAAGTGCCTACGAATCTTGGAGAGTCATCGGATTTGACTGCTTTGGACTTGTCGGAAAACCACCTCTCCGGGGATTTTCCACCGAATATTTGCAAGGGAGGTAAATTGTTGTATTTTCTTGTGCTGGATAATCTGTTCACCGGTAGGTTGCCCGCGACTTACGGGAAATGCAAGTCTCTCCTAAGGTTTCGAGTTAGCTCCAACTTTTTGGAAGGCCCCATCCCCGAAGACCTTTTGGGTCTTCCCCATGCTTCGATCATTGATCTGGGTTTTAATCGGTTCAGTGGTGCAATTGCAAAAACGATCGGAAATGGTAAGAACTTATCGGAGCTGTTTATACAACACAACATGATTTCGGGTGTTCTACCACCTGAAATCAGCCAAGCTAGTAATCTGGTGAAGATTGATCTTAGCAACAATCTCCTCAGGGGTGCCATTCCTCCTGAAATTGGAAATCTAAGGAAGTTGAATCTACTACTCCTCCAAGATAACAAATTTAGTTCATCCATCCCCAAAACGCTTTCTTCCTTGAAATCCCTTAATGTTCTTGACCTATCGAACAACCTCTTGACGGGGAGTATCCCAGAAAGTATCTGTGAATTGCTACCCAACTCGATCAATTTTTCAAACAATCGTCTCTCAGGTCCAGTTCCTCTCTCTTTGATTAAAGGAGGATTAGTAGAAAGCCTTTCGGGAAATCCAGGTCTTTGTGTTTCAATATACCTTAATACATCTGATTCAGACTTCCCAGTGTGTCCACAGATTTACAGCCGAAAGAGGCTAAACTGTATATGGGTTATTGGGGCTTCGGGGATAGTCGTGATCATTGGGGCAGTATTGTTTCTGAAACGTTGGCTTAGAAAGGAGACAGAAATACTGGAACAGGATGAAATCTTAGTTTGGTCGTCCTCACATGTCCAAAACTTCCACAAGATCAACTTTGACCAGCGTGAGATCGTTGAGGCCCTGGTTGACAAAAACATTGTGGGACATGGAGGGTCGGGAACAGTGTACAAGATCGAGTTGAGCAACGGAAAGACGGTTGCGGTGAAGAAACTGTGGAGTCGAAAGGTGAAGGACTCGGCATCAGAGGAACAGTTGTTCCTAGATAAGGAACTTAAAACGGAGGTGGAAACGCTTGGGAGTATCAGGCACATGAACATCGTCAAGTTATACTGCTACTTCTCAAGCTCACACTCGAATCTTCTGGTTTACGAATACATGCCAAATGGAAACTTATGGGATGCACTTCACAGAGGGCGAGACAGAGACTTTCTGGATTGGCCAACTCGACATCGAATTGCACTCGGAGTGGCACAGGGTCTGGCCTACCTCCACCATGATTTATCGCCACACATCATTCACCGAGATATCAAGTCAACCAACATTTTGCTCAGCGCCGATTACCAACCTAAGGTGGCTGACTTCGGCGTTGCAAAGGTGTTGCAAGCAAGAGGTGGCAAGGATTCCACTACCACTGTTATTGCAGGAACTTACGGGTACATTGCCCCAGGTATGTAATTATATATGTTCTAAATCAACTCAATTTTAATCCAAAGTAATTAACATGTTTACATGCTTCTGCATGTTTTTAACTCAACTACATCATGCATGATGCATGCATGCCATATGTCCGATATCGGTTAATCCTTCACCTTCTATTCATTGTTGGTCTTTAATTAACTAATCTTTCTGGTTGATGTCTGATGACAGAGTATGCTTATTCATCCAAGGCAACAGTTAAGTGTGATGTCTATAGCTTTGGCGTAGTGCTCATGGAATTGATAACTGGGAAGAAACCAGTAGAACCGGAGTTCGGAGAGAGCAAGAACATTATATACTGGGTTTCGTGCAAAGTGGAAACCAAAGAAGGAGCGATGGAGGTGTTAGACAAGCGATTAGTTGGGCTATTCATGGAAGAGATGATACAGGTGCTTCGAATTGCCATCCGTTGTACCTGTAGGGTCCCTGCCCTCCGTCCCACCATGAACGAGGTCGTTCAGTTGCTGATTGAGGCAGACCCTTACAGATTTGATTCTTGCAAGTCATCAAACAAGGAAACATCAGATGTCGTTAAGAGTTAAGACCAAGTACGCATCGGAATTATGAGCATACAAAGAGATCGATAAGTTTTTGGTTATGTTTGGCTTGAAGGAAAGTGCAGGAAAGATCGGTTTTCTGTCTTTCCCTTCCTTTCCCTACCTTTTCCTTCAAACCAAGCATAACCATTAAGTACAAGTAATATAGAAATTACAGTAGAATCAACTTTCTCTCTCTCTCTTGATGAAAAAAGTAGTTGTAGTAGAGAGGTTCTGTCTTTTTATTTCTTTTCCTTTTCCTTTTCCTCCTGTTTTGTTTCTCGTAAGAAGTTGATGTATATAATTGGATCATTACAGCTGCTTTATAGTAACGCACAGCATCTACATATATTATAGATCCAAAGAAAACAAAAGAATAAAAAAGCCGTTTTCTTGCTCTTCATTTTTTTCCTTTTTGGGGTATTCTGTTTTTCCCAACTTTTATTCTCTCTTTAATTCATGAGTGATCCAAAAAAGGAGACCTAAAGAATGCAGAAATGTTGTGGACGACTGGATATGCGTAAGATGGTGATTTGTAACGGGTTCGTTTGGAACCAAAGTGCTGGGTTCTTGATTTTAGAACATAAAGTTGGGTAAGATTCGCTAAAGAGAAGAAGGGCCACTTCGGATGAGCCATCCGTCGTAAAAGATGGAGAGAGACATGATTGATTGATGAGCATCTTTGTCTTTGTGACTTGAGAGTGTGATTATCATTGGACATTAGAGAGAGAGAGAGAGAGAGGGAGAGAAGGGGGTGGGGGGGAGGAAAGAGAAAGCACTCTCCAAGCCTCCATCAACCGTAGATAGTGTGCCATAATCTCCACTCACAACTTATCCATCAAATTGTTTTTTAAAAATAAAAAACTATTCCACTTCCACTCGCAATTCAAAAACTCTTGATTAGTTTAATTAGAAAGGGCGTTATGAGTGACAGAGTGAGAGAGGAGAGGGATTTGAGTATTTCTATTTCCTTGTTTCTGCTATTCAATGAATCACCAGAGTTTGTGGATGGAATTGCGTTGGGGCCTTGCAATATATATATATATATATATATATATATATATATATATTATATATATGGGCCTCTTGGTATTACACAATGTAGAAAAATATATAATTATTTCAAGAAAGTAGCTTAGCTTGGCGTGCTAGATTCTATGCTAGAATTTAGCCACTTATCAAGCCAATGGTCACCGACAAATAATAAGTAAGATAGGCACGTGCATAAATGCATGTCCACACGTGTGTGATGTGTGTCCATCACTGTGCGTGGGCTGGTACTTCGTAGGTCCACCCGGAAGAATAAGATTCAAGCATGATTGAGATGCAATGACCATATTATTCTATTGCAACAGTACAATGCAACAAAGTGTAACCAATACTGTGATGGATACATAGTACATACACACACAGAGAAATAAGCACTAGGAAAAAGGAGGTGAGCAAAAAGGAATATCTTAGGTGAGAATAAGAGGAACATCTTTTTTTTTTTCTTTTATTTATTTTCATTTGGGTCGGGACTCGGGAATGGAATATCTTTGCTACAGCAACACATACATATATGCTGAAGAACAAGATCTCTGAAGGGCTGGTAATGAAAAACAAAACTGTACTTGAGCACTTGAATCTATGTGCTGGACCATGGTTTTTAAAAACGAATCAGTGACCGAACCGGTCAGAGGTCCGGTTACCGGTTCGAACAGTCTAACTGTTTGATCCGAATGGCTGGTCTGTTCTGACAAAAAAAATAAAAAATTAAAAAATAGAAAACAATTAAAACCGTTCGAATGGTTCACATGGTTAACTAACTGGTTCAACAATTTATTGATCAAAATCAACGGTTTTGGGGAGAAAATGGTTTTGAAAGAAAACGGAATCGATTAAGTGATTGATTCCTGATTTTTCTGGTCTGACAGTCCGATCCAGTCCGGTTTTAAAAACAGTGTACTGGACGGCTGGTTATAGTGGTACTGTCGATGAGTTTAGGCACTTCCTTTTTTGAAGCACATACCTAGAGTACAGCATTAATTATGCTCATACTAATTAAGCCCAATCAGGTCCAATACCTGTTATGGGCCTTAAAGTTTAAAGTAGCCCATCCATCATCAAAATTTAATTTTAATAGTCCACAGTTGATAGTTTCCACTTCCCAGTTAATTTGTTACTGAAAAAAGAAAAAGAAGGATGAAAAGTCTTTGACTAGCGTGCTAATTGTGTCAGGAATGCTAGAGACTAGAAAAACAACATTCATCGACCTTGCACATAAATGATGTATAGTTTAATTAGTATGGTGGCAACCATAGCTACTGTAGTTTTTACTGTACATGCATGAAAACATAATCGTGGCTGCCTTTATTTGAGGCATCTTCCCATAATCCTCTTCCATATATCACACCACCCACACCCACACCTACGAGTAACCTGCGACTCATGAGGAATAATGAATTCAAATTCACAGCAGGATCAGTTGTTTACATTTAGGCTATGTTTGGTTTGAAGGAAAATGTAGGGAAATGACCATGTTTCCCTGCCTTTTCCGTCTTTTCCTTCAAACCAAATACAGCTTTAGGTGATATTTGAATAAAGAGATTGTCATCTTTAGATGTCTTTGTTTAAGATGATAATGATAATTTTAATGCAAATCTTGTATGATGGATGAATGTATATGGCAAGTTTTTTTTTTTTTTAATTATTAGTGGCGGTGGTCGTGTGGAAGGGGTATCCATCACCATTGTTTCTTGCAAGTTCAAAAGACAAAAGGGGGTCATTTGGAAAATGTGGCCTTACCTGTACTTTGGCGAGAGTAGATATTCACTAGAATACAACAGGTAGGGGTGTCAATTGGACTAGATTTGGTCCAATTCAATTCAGTCCAATGTGAGTCCATTATAAATGGATCAGGTCCGATCTAATCCAATTCAATGAATGTTTTATATCAATTTGGACCGGTCCAATTCAATGTCTAGACTGTCCAATTTGTTCAAATTTATTTTGATTTAGATTGGTTTCAACCTAAACCCAGTTCATTGACACATATATTCTTATGTTATATCAATTGACCAGATATTGGTCCAATCCAATATGTCTTGTTAGTCCATCCAATGCGGGGTCTAATCCAAAACCAGTCCATTGACACCCTTAACAACACATGTAAATCAAAAGGCCTTTACCTGTACTTTGGCCACAGCTTCCAACAATTGGCAAGAATTAATAATAGCAGTTTCTTTTGGAACAGCAGTTTTAAGACACACCACTTTCTTGTCCACATCAGCACTATACACTACCTTGTATACTTGTATTGGTGAGTTGAGGTTTGCACCCAACAGTAAATCCCAGCTGTGTATTAGGAGTTCACATCAGCACCCCATTGGGTGGCCCTACAGTACATCCCAACCATGTATTGGGAACATCTCCTAATGATAAATATCGAATATGGTTCCAGTACACGCTGAGATGTGCATGTAGGGTGCACCCTGTGGGGTGCTGATGTGATCTCGTGAATTGGGAACATCTTCCATTGACAAATACGGGAGATATTCTCCCTTATATTTTAAGTTTTAACCAAAACACAAAATTAGGATGTGGGAGGTGCCATACTCTCACACATACATACAGAGGCAGAGCCCCTATATATCTCCTTGTAAGAATTCTCTTGGTCGTTTGATTCGTTTCTTTCTTTCTCTTCTTTATTTCACAATGTAATCACTTTACACATAATTGGAACTTCCTAAGAAGCTACAGATTCTGATAATCCAACAAAGTAACGATCTTCAAATTAAATAAATACCTAACTGCTAAATTACGAAAATACTCCTAATTTGTCAATAGAAAACCATTTCACACGTGAAAATCCACCCCTCTAAGCGAGGTTTCCCTGAAACAACAATCCGTGGATTCTTTACCTTGTGTTCAATGACACAGGGATCATGACGTACGGTCTCATTCAGTAGATTATATGTAAAAATAAAGTAAGAAAAAAACCAGAATTAATGGAAGAAGATAACTAAACCTTTTGATGGGAGGTGAAAATAAAAAGTGAAACTTGGTGAAATAAACTGAATAAATCAGGTGTGTTAAAGTCATTCGATTACGCTATTTTCTGGTGTGGCCCATGTTTTAGCAGGGGCCCATCTAATGGTTGGTCATGGGGGCCCTGGCTAAAGGGTGAACATCCCACACCTTTGAATTAAGCCAGTTAAAATAAGCCCAAGCCCAGTCGCTATTCTATTTTTTAGGTTCAAAAGATCAAGCCCTATTGGCCTTTAAACAAGCCGAATAACTTGGCTTCAAGACACATCATTACTTTATGAACCAGCCCATGGGTTGAGCAACCATTGAGCTAATTTTGGATGGATTATGATGGGTTGAGTAAGGATGCACATTTGGTTGGACGATGGCTATTTTCTAGGTTAGGTAGGACACATCGGAGAACTACATAATTTTAAATGGGTGATTAATTTTAGGGGTTTTTATAGGTCAGTCCAAAAATCCCTTAATTTTAAAGGATACCATTAGGCCTACAACAGCTAGTAGCTAATAGGCTAATAGCTATAGGATTACGATCCAGCACTAAATGCGCCCTATCTGATGAGATAGATTCATTTGAACAACACGTGGGGATTATAAGTCTGATAAAATAAGCTCGAGGCCAGTAGCTATTCAATATTAATCAGGTCCAAAGCGCTATCAGCCTTTTTACAGAGCAAATAAACTGCCTCATAATTTCTAGGGCTGCAAGACCTATAGGAAGGGTCAGGTGCCCCATAAACTGCCTCATATTTCATGCTCAGACTCTGGGGAAGAGCTACCCCAAGATTCTTGTGTAGCTCTTTCCCCCCTCCCCCCCC